TTGCACAAGTCCTCGCAGAATAGGCAGGTGCCTGGCTGTGAAGGATGCGCAAGAGACCCCTGAGTTGAGTCCTCGAGTGGGTGCAGTTCCTAAACAACCCTCCCTGCTGTCTCCTTGGTCCCTGGGAGGTCAGGCTCCAGCTGGCAGGATGCAGGAGTGGCGTGCTTTTGCCTTCCAGCCGGTGCTTTGGGAGGGTACACAGGCTGACCATGTCTTCAGGGATTTCCATAACATTTGGAGTTGCTGATTTATATAGGTCTGGATTAGTCCCAGGGCCAAATTCAATTTCAGATAAGGGCTGCATTTCAGTGGTAAGTAAAGGCAGAGAGACATTCCTGCCTTTTAGAATGGGGAAAAATGCACACACCAAATTTGTGAGAGTGGGCAGGGAGGGAAAACCACCTAGCAGGGATGGAAGCAGGGCTGTTTGGGGAACGGTTGACTGCCAGCCACCTGGCTCTCTTTGTAGTCAAGTTGTCGAATTATAATCCCAGTTAATTACATATATTATAAAGACTACAAGCAAGCAAGCATTGCTTCAGGCTGCAAAAAGTATCCTCATGCAGGCAAATGAGACAAATGTCATAGGTAGATTTTGCATAACAGAACTTCATAAGGTTCAGCTAGTTCCCTAGGACAGATCCAGAACTGGGATTGTTTCCTATAGCTTGCTCTTCTCAAGCTGAGCAGGCTATTAAGTTTCACTCTCAAGGGAGGTCCACAGGGGCATCTCTGTGGCCAAAACTCTCCTGAAGTATCGCATGACCCTGTACTGCCCTCCCTTTTCATCAAATGCCTAACGCCCAGCTCTTACATTGCCACCCCTTGTCCTTCTCTTTATAAGCCTGCATTCCTTTAGGGTCAGAGGGCCCAGCCTGGCTGTTCTCCAAAAGACTGAAGGACAGCTGGGCCAACTCTCTTTTGTCTTCCCTATATTGCCTGAGCTTCTGCTCTTATCACTTTGGCACCTTGTCAACACCTTCATCTCCCCATCGCACTCAGAATCAATCCCCATCTATTGTTCAGGGGCATCTTGGGACCAATTCCTAAAGGAACTGTGCTCCTCACTCATAGGCAGGGATGTAATATAACAGGGTGGATTTGATTTAAATCAGTTTAAAACATTTAAATCACTAGTCTATAAGACTAGATTTTCTACATAGTTTGCACGCACACCTGCTTTACCCATAGGCAGAGGAACTTCATTAAAATATTCTCAAACTGGGTCTCTTTTATGGCCTGCTTCTATTGCAGATTTTCTCCTCCAGGGAAAGAATAATATGATAAACCTCAGGCTATAAAGATCCAAAGCTTTGTGGACCATTCTGTTCAAAAGGTTTCACTTTCATTTTCACCTCTCGCCCCTCCCTCCTCACACTTAGCTTCTTGTGCAGATCTATTCCATTCCTACCAGTGTTCTATTTATTGAATTTTTTGAAACTGAGCACTTCCGAGGTAAGTGGTTGATTCTGTGTACATGGAGCTGCAAAGGGACAATGGATGAAGGTCTTTTTTTCAACTCTTTGTTTATTTTTCAACATTTTTGCTGTGAAGAGGCATGTGATCTCTGTAGACACAAATTCATGGTTCTGAGAACTGTAAAACAAAGCATCTGTGATAATACCTTCTAGAGAGAAAATTTGCCCAATAATCTTAAAGAAACCTCTGGAAGAGCGTAACGTTGTGAGTAGATTCATGGAATTCATTTACCAAAAAATTAAATATTGCATGAATATGCAGCCTTATGCTACATAATTAAAAACTTATCCTTATTTTGTGATGAATAACCTTTGGACTATAATGCATCTCAAATACCTTGTAATTTTTGCAAACTTTTTTTTAATAGGTGTTTCATCAAAAAGCATTGCATGAGAAAAAAATCTTTAAAAAATTAAAATCCATTTTTTAATTTACAGAAATCATTGATTTTTTATTAAGCCTACAATAGTAAACTCACTAAGGGGTCCTGTGGGCTAAATAAAGCAGAATAGGCCAGAGATTGAGAGAAAGCAGCTTCTCCTTCTATGTCTACTCAGAATGCTGCCATGGCCCCCTTTCCCTCTTCTCTTCTGGTTTGAGAGCAGGGGATGTGCCACAGCAGTGGGCAGAGGGAGACTTGGACAGTGGCAGCTGGGCTTCTTCACTGGTACCTTTCCAAGCCGTATTTTCAAGTATTACTCACGGCTGGATCCAGGTGGCCGCCAGCCCATGTAGGCTGCAACTTTCAATTTTATTTTTTTAAAGACTGCCCAGTTTGTGAGGAGTGAATCCTTCAAACTAATTTCTCTCTTGCGCCAGTGTGTGCTTGTGTGCATGCATGCATGTGCACCATTGGCCAAATGAAGTTGGTGCTGCCAGATTAGGAGTTCCCAGCCCATGGCTAGAACACATAAGCAGCCATGGGGTAGTTGGAAGAATGCGGCAGGGCATAGTGCAGCCTTTTGGAAATTTGGTGGGCAAGGTTGATGTGTGTCCTGTTGATGTGTGTCCTGTTGAGCATCTTGCCCTTGGCTTTTGTGATGCCTGCTACAAAAGACTGGAAAAACTGGGCAGGGGTGGGAGATGACTGGAAGATGTATTATGTGGGGACATCAAGTGCAGGACATTGCTACAAAACTGGAGCTGCCAGAAGCAGGGCCTTTGCAGGGATGGCTCAGAGGTAGCGGGATGACCTTCCTTCGGAAATGTGGAGTGATATCTCCCCACTTGCCTTCTGCAAGGGTTGACCTGTCTTATAGGAATGCTGCAAGATAGTGTAAGATTGGAACAATTCAGTGAGAGTCCCATCACGTCTCTTCTGAGACACCGAATGCCTTTAGCTCTCCCTGAACTTCACCAAACTGGAATAAAAGGAAGGACTGCAGTTCCACTGGCCATGCTGCAAGATCAACTCTCTTTCAATTCCATCTCTTTCAACTCTCATCTAATGGTAGCAATTCCATCAGGCTACCTGAACTGCTTCTTTTCCAGCTGGTAGCGAGACATTTCTGTAACATTAAGATCAAGTGCAGCAGTTTGCCTTACTTTCCTTCCACCCTCCCTCCCCCCCACCACTTTTCCTTTTTTGTTAAGTCTTTCAGAGTGTAAGTCTAAGGAACCAGACTGTCTTGTGTGTCTGGCAAATAATGATCTGTATAACTTGTTTTGCATGCCTTTTTGGCTGAAGAGCAGGGTAAATAAACAAATAAATATACGTGAAATGAATTAGGGTCTACAGTTTAGGCTTAAATCTGCTCTACTCCCAATATTTTGGGTTGATAATAAGATCTTAATTTCATTCATCTTTCCAGTAAGGGACTGAAATAGAGCAACACACATTTTAAATATACGAGGTATGAATATGTAAGTGGAATATAGGATGTGTAGTTGGGTCAAAATTAGCATTGCCAATAAATGCTGCTCTTGGCTCTTATTGAAGAAATGAGTTCTAATGCTGCCACAAGACAGTGCTGTCCTTCAGGGGTCATGTGTCGTGTGTGAGCCTGTGGGATTACAAAACTTCTGGTGCAAGGCAAGAATGAGTGAAAGATGCAGGGATGGAAACTGCCTCCAATGCATTTGTGAAGCAACAGAATTGCATACATATATGCAAAAGGCATCCAGGGCCCATGTTAGAAATGAGGAATTGTCAATGGAAGAAAGTACACAGACTGCTGCTCTCCAAATTCTCACCTGGTTTCAAGAAGAGATTACAGGCTGGAAATCCATTTTGTGCATTGGCAGAATGATTGACCTTCCAGCCATGTTAATTGGATGAATGGGGTAATGATCATGCTAAATAAGTGCTGATGATGGTGCTGATGATCAGGAGATCACAAAATGCAGAACGCCTTGAAAAATCCATGAAAGTGAATAACTATTTTCTGTGTAAAAAAGTAGGTGTAATTGGTCTATCGGTTCAGCAGTTTGTGAGATGTTACATGCTGTCCTTCCAAACTATTTGGCTGATGACTTAGTAAGAAACAGGACACCGGGCTGTTCTAAAAATAATTGGTGTTACAGTATTTATTTAATTTTTCCTTACAGAACTGTATATGTGCTGCATAGATACAGAATCATCTACAGATGCCCTTGGGTTTTAGGGGAGTTTTCTGCGCTGTGGGTATCCCATGCATAGTAGTAGTAATTCAGAAATATGCTGAGGAAGGGGAGGTCATTGCCCATTGGACAGAACCATTCTTTGTTCAAATGTGTCTTTGCTATCATGCTGAAGCAGAAGCACCAAACTTCAAAATCTGACATTGTGTCCTGCACCAGGCATCTCACAGCTTCTGTCGTTTATTAAGGGTAAATAATAAATCTTATGCATGTTTGGATTGCAAACATGGTTCCCCAGACAGCACTGCTTCATGTTTAATTGTACATGTAGTAGTCTTGGTTATTTTAAAAAATGTGTTTAGGCTGTATTGTTTTCAGTGGTTATATGGTGCTTCGATGGCTTTTTAGCAGCTGAGGCAGTATGGAAATAGATACACATCACTAGGGATGTGATTGGAAAATTAAAACAGTTATGGGCTATTCTGGTGCTGAGCGACCTTTTGTCATTGCAAGGGAAACCAGTGGGGGGGGGGGGACTCACCAGTGTAGAAGAACCCCCACCAGAGGGGGTTTGCTAAGTGACTCCTTAAACCTGGAGCCAGTTCTGAGCTCCTTGTTACTTTAGGTATACTAGGCTGGATTTTTAGTTAGTTTACTTAGTTGGCGATCAGTGTCCCTGATGGTGATGGTAGAAAAACAAATATTTGGGGAACACAATACAGTAAGGAGTGCATGTTTTAATTTTATATAAAGTTAAACAACAATTAATTTGAGAAGCAATGAAAAATTAAAAGCGTTAAATAACATTTCTATAAACGATGCAGCCAGAAGTACATTTTTCCTTCAAAATGAAAGCAGCATACAAAGAATTATTACTTTGCATGGAAAAGCATCATTGGTGATTAGCATCTCTTTGAGGAAGGCATTTTCTGTTGTAATTCTGTGCCTATTTGATTGTGCAGGGTTTTGAAGGTTTTCCTCTCTCGAACTGTTCAACGAATCCCATACATGACTGGTGGACGAGTGATGAAGATGCTGGCTGTGATTCTTCTGGTCGTGGTGTGGTTCCTTATTGGCTGGACTTCTGCCATCTGCCAAAACCTGGAGAGAAATATTTCACTCATCGGCCATGGGCAAACATCAGATCATCTGATCTTCAATATGTGCCTGGTAGACCGGTGGGATTATATGATGGCTATTGGTAAATTGCGTTTCTTGTTCCTCTAGCTTTGATTTTTGTATCCAAGTGGTTACCTTAACAAAAAAAAGTCTGTTGAATTACTGCTAAATTTCAAAAGTACAGCTAATAGCCTGATCCTGTGTGTATTTGCTCAAAATCAAGCCCCACTTTCACTGAATGTTGCTGCTGGAATTCACATAGAACTGCAGTCTTAAAATAGACACAGAGGGAATCAGAAAGGGTCTCCTGGGCCATCTAGTCTGACCCCCAGCTCCAGCCGGCTCCGCTCACAACATGCCCACCATGTGCATGTCTAGCCTATCCTAGCCATCCATTAAAATGTTAGTGGATGCATTGTTTCTTTAAAGTAGCTTCTTTAAAAAAAATATTCAGGAGTAGCTGGTGATAGATGATCACAACTGGAGCAGGGGCAGATGGACTGAATGCATGTGTGTTTGGTCTCATGTACTGTAACATTTTAAAACCCGTGTGTTGTAGTAATTTCCAACAAACAAACAACTGTGCTCCCTTAGCTTCCAGAAGTCAGCCTGAGCAGTCAAGTGAAGTGAACAGCCAGTTTTCCAGTTTCATGGTTCAATTAATAGCTGCAAAAGACTTGATGTAGGATTTTAAACACAGACAGCTACTGAAAAGGTCCAACAAATGTAAATGCTCTTTAAATGTGAGCTTTCTAGTCTGGCTTTCTAGTAGATTTAATTAGCACTGCAATCTACCATTTAGGTCAGCCAGTTCTGGGAAATGTAACCCCAATCTAACTATGCAGTTGAAGCTTCTCATCCTGACTCTCACCCCTCATATATTTTGCAAACATTACATATGTCCTGTAATTGATCTGTAAATTTATGGTGTGCTCCAGTAGTTTAGTAGTAGAGCTGAAAGCATTAATCAATTAATTGGTGTAATTATCCATTTACTGGCTTGAGAGTCAAGTGGAAATACATCTTGGATTAATTAGAGATGCCTAGCTGTTTTGTCACTGCTGCCATTGGGACGTGACTGTTGCGGTCCGGCTTGTTTTTCTTAGACTGTTGGATGGGGACTTTGGAGATCTGGGTTACAGTCAGTGGTGAACCTCACTGAGTGATTTTGTGCTGATTACAGATTCTCAGCCTAGTCTATCACACAGGGCTGTTATGAGGATGAGTTGGAGGTGTGGAGGCCCATGCAAGCCAAAAAAGGCATGATATAAATGTAATAAATCAACATATCACTTGCTTTCCCTGCCACCCATAATTCCTTGCAGCATTCCTCTGCTTTTAAGCAGTTTTCCAGTAGCCCGGCTTTGATACTAATAGTGAGCAAGGGAGGGGCAAAATGGCTTAAAGCTACAAAGCTTAGTGAGGAAGGCCTGGGCTTTGTTTCCCTTCTCTCCTCATGCCCAATGTCCCTTTTTTGTAGAACAGGGGAACACAACCTTTTCAGCCTGAACAACTGTATCCAGTGTCTGATGGGGACCACAGTTGTGTATGCACAAATACAGATATGTGTACACACATAAACATTTACACCTGTGCCCTCTCTTCCACATACTTCACCCAATTAAGCTAGCTAATTTCATTTTTCAAAGTGATAGAGCATATGATGGGCACTGGTGTTTTGCTGGGTATCCTTTCAACGTTTCCCATAGCAGGTAAAGCTGTTTACTAACTTGAACCATTGATTTACTCCTCCTTGCTTTTGAAAAGTGTGCTGCCCTCTTCCTCCTGGTGGCAGCAGTAGCTGCCACAGAGGTTCCAGCAAAGAAGGAAAAGTGTTGTGGAGCCCTCTGTCAGCAGCTGTAAGGTCCCTGCTTCCAGACCCTAAATCATCCCCCTGGAAGAGCGAAGAAGCTTTTCAAGGGATCACAGAGGAGTAGATTTGGAAGGGGCCAGGAAGGCCATGGGTGCATTGGCTCAGTGTAGGACTCCAAGTTAAACCATCCCACTCAGGTGGCTGTCCAGATGCATCTTGAATGCCTCTAGTGTGGGAGAGCCCACCACCTCCACACATAATTCCTTTCCATGGTTGTACTGCTCTAACACTCAGGAAGTTCTTCCTGATGTTCAGCCGGAGCCTGGCTTCCGGGAACTTGAACCAGTTATTCCATGCCCTGCACTCTGGGGAGAATCAAGAAAACCTGAATTTTGAACTGATGAGTCAATCAGGAAAGGTTTATATTTTTGTTGCTGCAAGCAGTAGAAAACAGCACTCTTGGAAAATACCATGTTAGAGCATAAAGTAGGCTACAAAGGCAGCTGTAAAGAACAATGGTGAGATTTAGCATATGGCATTATTTTATATTCAGTGCAAGAGAGACTTAAAATAGAGCTTCGGCTATGGAGAGGTATAGAAATGAAAATAATAACAATGATGATGATGATTTATGGTTGTGAGCCACCCTGAGGCTTCAGCGAATGGGGCGGCATAGAAGTCCCATCAATCAATCAATCAGTCAATCAATGATGTATTAGAGCTAAAAGCAGTGTGCTTTACAAAAATATAGGGACATGGCAAACTTGTTTGGCTTGCCTGTCAATATGAAGCAGTTTAATTTGCACTTCCTGAACTAATATGTAAATACCTTTCCATTTTTGTGCTTCTTCAAATTCTCCAGTGCATTTCATCTGATGAAAACCTGCATAGAAAAACACATATATTAGGGAAAATTGTATAGCAAAATGTGTACATTAGGGGAAAGTGAAAAGCAATGTTTATATATGAAAATGCATACCATTCTTCTTTTGCATGGAAATGCACATGGATCTTTGTGCAGACTTTAAAAAGAGGCATTAAGTCACTGAAGCAGAAACAATGTGGAATGAACTTTTGATTTAAAAAACTCTGAATGCACAGAAAGTGAAATGCAATTGCATGTGAATGTAACTGATTATTTTTAATGAAACCATGCTCGGAATTCTATGCTTCTCTTGAGATGCTTCTGCTAACAAATGCTATTTTGAGAGGAGAGAGTTGGTATGTGCGCATCACAACCACCTGTGTGCCTTATCATGGTTTTTCTGCCAGTCTCAAGGTCAGAGAAGATTGTGTGTTAAAATTAGGCAGACTTATTTAAGTTGGGTTCCAGTAAGTTGGGTTGCAATCTCTCCCCACCCTGGAAGCCAAGCAAGTTATCCAGCCAACAGTGATGGGCAATGGAGGCTCATGTCACCGCTCCTCAAGGGCCTGGGGGGCTGTATGACGGTTACCACTGCGCTTTGTTCTTCATTCTGACCTCATTTGCAAAGGCATTTTGCACTTCATTCTTCACCTGTGGCTTGCTTGAAGTGCCCATGAGCTTGGTGTTCTGACCAAGACCCCGCCCTGTGGGAAGAGTCTTGCTCTGGCTGGGCAGCCTGCAATGTGTCCTGCAGGTTTCTTTGTCTTTCAAAAAGTTGTAGTCGGCTCCAATGGGGGTTTCTGGTGTTATATTTTAGTGCTATTTGTCCACATCTTTATCTCTTCCTCCACCAATTCCTTATTCTAAATAAATTTCACTATTTCAAGCTTACCCACACTTTGTTTCAGATGAAGCCTAAGTCTCAGTTCAGGATGTCGTGCTTTGGTTTTATGAAAGTTTTGGGTTTTAGGCTGTAAGGCAAGCAATAGGGGTTGACTGTGTAGTCTCTATTTTATGCCCCCAGGGTATTCAGTAAGGTCGGAGAATCCCTTGGCTCAGATTAGTTGAACATAGACGGAGATGGTGGCTGTCTGCTAGGTCATTGATTTGCTTGCCACCTGGCCACTTGCAGGTCACTGGGGGTTTGCAGGGGGTGGGGGAAAACCCTCTTAACCTCCCAACTCCCTCATAGCCTCTCTGTCATGCCATCATTAACATTTATATGCATATAAAACCCTGTCTCAAGATCTCTCTCTCTCTCTCTCCCCCACCTTCCTCCCTCCCTCCCCCTCCTCCTCCTCCTTTTGTGAACATCTGAGGTTCAACAAGTAATTATGTAAATATACATTGGGGAGTTCATCAACCAGGTCTAGGACAATGTGGGAATGTGCTTGTGAGTACATGTCTCAGGAGAATTTGTGACTGGGCTTTCCTCTAGGAAGGAAGAGAGATCTTCAGCAGAACCATTTATGCCAACTTAACTATAATGAAATGTTCCTCATTATCTAGGAAGCCAAAATACTTATCTGGCTGGACTTCAGAACAGGCCAGAGAAGAGCCAACAGGGCCAGGCCAGTGCTAATCTGACCTAATTTCCTTAGCTACTGAATTTCACACCATATTCCCGACATTCTGTTTTGGAAATACCATATGGGAAAAAATGCGTCTGAACACACAAGCTGATTTGTTTAAGTTTCTACTTTAGAAAAGATGCCATCACTGATAAAACTTTTAATGTATAACTGTAAGAGAGTAAACAAAATAGCAGCATGCACACATGAGCTATTGCAGACGGGGGGAATATACTTTGCATGCAAAAGATTTTGTGCTCACTTGTTGGCATCTCAAGTGTGAGTAGGACATGTTCCAGAATGTCTCTCCTAATCAGTGTAGGCTGGTTTCCTCCCACCTCTCAGGGCAGGCTTGTATAAAAATAATGCTGAGCTGGATGGATCAATGGTTTGAATCTGTCAAAGGCATGTTTCGGAGCTTAAATCTTGTGAGCTGGAACCAAAGCCTCCTTTCCTTAAACAGTAGCACAGAGTCATTTCTGTATAAACCAAGATGTTAAGCATTGATGAGGTTGAACTCAGACAATGCTGGGTGTGTTTATACAGCAAAAGTCAGCCACTGAAACATGAGGACATTTGAACAAATGAACACCATAGGTGAATGTTAGCACTACTAAATTTACTAGGCCAGTATGTCCCATAAGGCAAAGACTCAAAAAGAAAATGTAGTGATGGCGAAACGTTTTAAGAACGAGTGCCCTACCTGCAAATCAAAACACACTTATTTATCGCAAACTGCCAACACTACAACAAACCAGAAAATAGAGGTTTTAGTTTAGAAAAAACAACTCACAACCAGATCACACCTTTTGGAACATGCACAAGTCCCCAAA